AGCCGCCTACCTTCAATCGTAAGAAACAGATATGCCTGCAATGTTACGTATAGCCGCCTACCTTCAATCGTAAGAAACAGATTGTCTGCAATGTTTCTGAACTCCTTCTTTAGCACTATATCTTCCTGATAGACCACGTGTCTTACTAAATCCACAACTCTGGTGGTGTATAACTTATTTATGTCCTTGAAGAATATCTAAGGTGGATATTATAGATTTATAATACGCACCTATTATAGATGGTTATTATATTAAATCACTTGCTGTTCTTTTCTCAATGTACAAGTCACTCTGAAATTTTAAGACTTTGCAATGCCGTGTTCAAAATGTTAAATAATAATTTCAAGACTTTACAGTGTCGTGTGCAAAATGTTAAATAATAATTACAATACTTTACAATGCCGTGTGCAAAATGTTAAATAATAATTACAGTACTTTACAATGCCGTGTGAAAAACGTTAAACAATAATTTCAATACTTTACAATGCCGTGTGAAAAATGTTAAATAATAATTACAGTACTTTACAATGCCGTGTGCAAAATGTTAAATAATAATTACAGTACTTTACAATGCCGTGTGAAAAATGTTAAATAATAATTACAGTACTTTACAATGTCGTGTGCAAAATGTTAAATAATAATTTCAAGACTTTACAATGCCGTGTGAAAAATGTTAAATAATAATTACAGTACTTTACAATGCCGTGTGCAAAATGTTAAATAATAATTACAGTACTTTACAATGCCGTGTGCAAAATGTTAAATAATAATTACAATACTTTACAATGTCGTGTGAAAAATGTTAAACAATAATTTCAATACTTTACAATGCCGTGTGAAAAATGTTAAACAATAATTACAATACTTTACAATGCCGTGTGAAAAATGTTAAACACTAATTTCAATACTTTACAATGCCGTGTGCAAAATGTTAAATAATGAAACAAATTGTCATAGGATTCTGAATTTGTTAACATTAATTTAGTTATAAATTTATTATAAAATATTTGTTAACATAATAAGATCATTTGAACACTTGAATAGTGCACAAATAATAGATCTCACAAAACGATTTCAATATGCTTTTAAAAAACAAACAATTTATCCAGTACTGTTAAGGTTATGGAACTCAACTCGCAATCTGGGGGGTTGTGGATTCGAATTCCGTTCCCCAATATGCTCGGGCTTTCAGCTGCGGAGGCGTCACAATGTGATAGTCAATCCCACTATTCGTTGGTAAAGAGCAACCCAAAAGTTGGAGGGGGGTGGTGTTAACTAGCTGCCTTCCCTTTAGTCTATCACTTTAAAATTATGGAAGGTTAGCGCAGATAGCCCTTAATCAGCTCAGCGCGAAATTCACAAACAAAACAATCTGTACTGTTAGATAAAACAAAGAATCCAGCATCACGGTCTATGATCTAGACGAGATCGGAGTGACTTGTTGGGAATTGATATGCATCTTTTACTCACAGAGAGACATGTCTACAAAAGACAGTTAACTTTTACTTACAGAGAGAAATGTATCACTACAAAACACAGTTCATCTTTTACTTACAAATAGAAATGTATAACTACAAAACACAGTTAATCTTTTACTTACAGAAAGAAAGGTTCATTAACAAAACAAAGTTCATCTTTTACTTACAAAAAGAAATGTATAACTACAAAACACAGTTCATCTTTTATTTACAGAAAGAAATGTATAACTACAAAACACAGTTCATCTTTTATTTACAGAAAGAAATGTATAACTACAAAACACAGTTCATCTTTTATTTACAGAAAGAAATGTATAACTACAAAACACAGTTCATCTTTTACTTACAAAAAATACATTTCTTTCTGAAAGTAAAAGATGAACTGTGTTTTGTAGTTATACATTTCTTTCTGTAAGTAAAAGATGAACTGTGTTTTGTAGTTATACATTTCTTTCTGTAAATAAAAGATGAACTGTGTTTTGTTAATGGACCTTTCACTCACAAAAATCTCTCTATGTGAAAGTGAAATATAAACTGTGTTTTGTAGCTACAAAACACAGTTCATCTTTTACTTACAGAAAGAAATGTATAACTACAAAACACAGTTCATCTTTAACTTACAGAAAGAAATATTTGTTCATTTGCAGCGGTTTATCTTGTACTTACACAGAAATAATGTCTATTTACCAGTCACTGATAGTTGCAGAGAAATACAAGAAAGGTTTGTATGCAAGAGATAGTTTATTATATACTCACGGATAGAATGTATGTTTACAACGACAGTATATGTGCATTTCATCAACCTAATGGTTTCATCGTGATGGTTTACCATCATACAGAGTAATTAATGTTGTGTTCTATGCTAATTCTGTTCCTAAAGAGTCGAAGGTATCTCTACTTATATGGATGAATACTATTAATGCACAGTACGAGTACCTCATAAGTCAAAGTACGTTGTTCACGAAGTTGCTATACAATATTAATTCATTTGTTCCAATGAAGAGGAGAGAGAGAGAGGAATTCATTACTAACTTTTTTCTCGTGTCAATCAATATATTGTTTGTTTGTTTGCAATTAAGCACAAAGCTACACAATGGGCTATCTGTGCTCTACCTACCACGGGTATCGAAACCCGGATTCTAGCGTTGTAACTCTACTTTTTTAAATATTCTACCCTGTAGGGTTGTTTCAATCTACCACGAAATTCACAAAATATTTTTTTTGTTGTTGTAGTCTTAAATATTTCATTTTTAACTTTGTTGTTCGTAGTAAGTATAAATTAGAAATACCTTTATATTATTTTATTGTGTATCAAAATAAAAGAATCAAAATTATCAGTAAAAACAACCATCTATTATATATAATTTAATGGATAATTCTTCGTTTGTTGGATGATAGTTTCGTTATCTCTTCTTATCATTAACGTTTTTTTCTTTCCAGTTTTATCAGCAGTGGTCGGAAAAGGAAAGCTTACGTTATCTTTGTTTGCTTTCAGGAGTAAAGGAAAGAAGTTGAAGATTAACTTAACAGAAACTTGCAAAAATAACCTAGGTGATCTTGAAATTGTAACTGACCTACAGAAATAAAAAAAAACAGTTGTTATATTATAAAGAAAGGGCAAAGAAATGCTAGTAAAAGATACAAAATTAGCGTTAGTGAACTTGAAAACATAACTGACTTCATACATTAATGTGATAGTTTTTACGATTTATGCCTGACTGAAATTGTACCTGACTGTATTCCAAAAACATGATTTTTCTATAAAAAAAAATAGTGCAAATTCATACCTATATACATATAAAATGCTAATTTAAAACCACTTTGGTGGAGACTTAGGACTGTTATTTGAGTCACTAGAACTGAATTCATTACTGATGAAAAATATAAAAATGGAACACCGTGTCTGTGTGTGTATATGATGTGTGGTACTATCCATTAAAGAAGAGTGATCCCAATGATACTTCACCATTAATTGTTTCACGAACTGTGTTTCTGTATGTGTGGTATTACATATTAAAGGTGAGTGATCCT